AAATAGTTTATTGAGTCTATTACAAATGGAATTGTTATCCTGACTTCCCTCTATATGGCTTGTACATTGTTGGTATACAGAAAAGTTTTTGATTATTGTGGGTTGATTTTTGTATCCTGCTATTTTGCCAAAGTTATTGATCAGCTCTAGGAGCTTGGGGATGGAGTCTCTCAGGTCCTTTAGATATAAAATCATGTCATCTTTCCCTATATGAATCCCTTTTGTGTCTTTCTTTTGCCTTACTACAAGAGACTATATTCCACAATTACATTGAAAAGGAGTGGAGAAAATGGACATCCTTGCCTTGTTCTTGATTTTTAGAAGAAATGGTTTTATTTTTATTTATTTATTTTACCATTTAGTATAATGTTGGCTGTGGTCTATCAATGATAGCCTTTATTATGTTGAGGTATGTTCCTTCTACTCCTAAATTCTCCAAAGCTTTTAACATGAATAGATGTTGGATATGTTTAAGGCTTTCTCTGTATCTATTGAGATGATTGTGTGATTGTCTCTGGCTCTGTTTATGTGATGTTTATGTTTATCGATTTACATATATTAAACCAGCCTTATTTCATTGGGATAAAACCCACTTTGTTACACTATATAATTTTTGATTAGTTGCTGAATTCTTCCTTGTTTTGGGCCATTCCTGGGGCTTGAACTCAGGGTCTGGAATCTGTCCCTGAGGCTCTCTGTGCTCTACCACTTGAGTCACAGTGCAACTTCTGGCTTTTTCTGTTTATGTGGTAGAGGAATTGAACCTAGGGCTTCATGTATGATAGGTAAGCACTCTACCACTAAGCCACATTCTCAGCCCAGTTGCTGAATTCTTTTTATTTTTGTATATATTTTTTATTGTAAAGATACTGTACAGAGGGGTTACAGTTACATGAGTAAGGTAATGAGTACATTTCCTATTGAGCATTGTTACCTCCTCCTTTGTTTTCCCCCTACTATCCCTTCCCTCCCCATATCCCCAAACTCCCCCTATCCTTTCCCCCTGCCCCAAGTTGTAAAGTTCGTTTTCAACATACTTTCTTGTACATCTCATTGTTAACCTATATCCTTATTTCAGCATTTTGTTATTTCTCTTCCCCTCCCCAAATTAGAAAAATGTACATACAAGATGCAGGGCACCAGAATCAAACACAGTGAAAACAGGGGTTATACATGGGAGAAGAACATACAAAAGAAACAAAAAAAATCACATGGTACATTATAAATACATTAATAACACCCAGCTGCTGAATTCTTTTGGCTAGTATTTAACTAAGGAGTTTGACATCTTTGTTCATCAGAGAGATTGGCCTATAGTTCTCTTTTTTCATTGTGTCCCTACCTGGTTTGGAGAGGCATGTAATGCTGGCTTCATAAAATATGTTTGGCACTTATCCTTCCATTTCTATTTTATGGAAATATTTGAGGAGTACTGGTGTTAGTTCATCTTTAAAAGTCTTGTAGAATTTAGCTGTGAATCCATTAGGACCTGGACTTTTCTTGCTGGAAGACGCTTTATTACTTCCTCAATCTCACCGGTGTTATGGGTCTGTTTAAGTCGTTAATATCCTTGGTTCACCTGAAGCAGTTTGTATGTCTCCAGAAATTTATACATTTCTGTTAGATTTTCCAACTGATTTGAGTTTAGGCTTTGAAAGAAATCCCTCATAATCTTTTAGATTTCTTGGATGTTGGTTGTGATATTACCTGTCATCTCAAATTGTGTTTATTTCAATGTCTTCTCTCCTCTTTTTTGTCAACTGAGTTAGGGTCTGTCTTTATTTTTTCAAAGAACTAGCTTTATGTTTCATTGATTCCATATATAGTTTTATTATCTTTAAGTAGCTGTATAAAAGAATTGCAAATTGCAACTCAACATTATCAACCTATGTATACAATGCATCTTGATCAGTGTTACTGTTTTAATTTTCTGTTGTGGTTCTCCATTCTAGAAGTCCATTTTCATATCACTACAAAGAATCCTCTGTTCACAAATTATGTTTAGCTTTTTCTTTAATTCTTTGGACATACTTATGTAGTTGTTATATTGTCCATGTTTGATATACTCTCAGGGACATATATGGATTCTATTCTTCTTTCTGCTGGTTGTGATTTGCATTTCCATGAGTCCTGTGTATAGTAAAATATTGTGTACTGATCACTCTATTTTTACTGAATTCCAAAGTTTAGAGTTTTGTTCTAGCAGTAATTGTTTAGTTTGATCATATCTTCTGTTTAGGTCTAGAATATAATTAACAAGGAAATAAATCTGATAGGCACTACTTATGGCCAGAGTGGAGGTGCACTAATATTTTCCATAGCTCCACAGTTGATTCTAATGTGTGCTCAAGGTTAATAAGTGTTGTGATTAAGGGTTTCCTAAAGCTGCACTATTAGCATTTGGCGCTGGATTATTGTTTGTCATGGGTGACTGTGTGTGTCATCAGTGTTTGTGGTGTTATCCATCTGATGCGAATAGTACCTTCTCATAGTTTCCAGAATTAGTTAAATATCTTCAATAAGTTGAGAGCAAGCACTGTAGCAGAACAGATTAACAGATTATATTATTAAGTGTCAACTACTCAAAGTGGTGTGCCGACCAGGAGTACTTTACAATGGTTTTTAGAAGCAGAATCTCAGCAACTTCCAGTCCACCTTTACCTCCAGAATACAATTTCCATTTTTAAGATTACAAACAATTTTTCCTTTTCACATTTGAAGAATGCCAAAGGCCAGGGACCAACAAACTTCTTTGCTTTTCTTTTGTTGTTTTGTGGGGTTTTTTGTTTTTTGTTCCCAGTGCTGCAGATCAAATCCAGTTTCTCTCACATGCCAGGCAAGTACTCCATCACTGAAGTACATCTATAGTCCAGACAAATTGGCTTGATACACAGAAAATATTTTAAGCTTATACTCTTTTTAATGGAAAGGCAGCCACAGACAGACTATAAACAAATGGATGTAGCTGTGTCATAACAAAACTTTATGCACAAAATATGTAGGTGGCCAAGTGAGGAAAAATTTTTCCATATCCTACTATATCCAGTCAGATCTCTCAGTGTACCATCTTTCCATTTTAATGTTATTCAGTCTGCCAAAAGATGTCAAGTTTATAGATTATATAGTAGATGATTCTTGATATTTTAGTATCTTGATTTCTATTCTTATTCTGTTCTTAAATAGGTGGTTATCTTCTGCTTTCACATACAATCTCTGTATGTAAATGTTATTTGTTACTAAAGCCTTTAGAAAGCAGTTCTCAGCCCTTGGAAATATGTTTTGATGCCATCATTCTTGCTCTTTGTGTGAGAAATGATTTATAGGTATGCTGGGATAACTATTCACTTCTTTTCTCTCTTGTGAATAAATCTGACAGAACTTGAGGAAAACTACATTAGTATGATTTTGTTAGCTCTCAAGACAGTAGAATCATTTAACGTTAGTTATCTGAGTCTCAAGTAATTTATTTAATAGGAAATCCAAGTGCTGTCAAAACATCTGTTTGTTTTACATATCTTATAGAAATCCTTTCTCACCTTCTAAAACTGAGAACATTCAAAAAGTGACCTTTTTATATAAGGAAGTAGGAAACTGAAGGCTGTTGGAAGGGTGGCAGTTTAGAGGTGGAAAACGGTGGTACTTAAACAGATGTTTCTTGGTGAAACTAATGTGAAAAAGATGGAAGTATTTTTGGCTTGGTTTTATGGGTTTTTTTTCTTCTAAATTACTTGACAGATAGTACAAGAAGAAAGCAATTGAGAGGTTCCCAAAGTGATGCAGAAACAAGGCAATGGGGTTAAATGGCAAGCAAGATACTGATTCCTCAGGCTTAAGGCAACTCATAAAACATGTATATAAGGAACTAGTTAAGTTTGTCTAGTATCTATACTGGTTGATCTCTGCCTGTAACTTTTCAAGAGACATGACCCCTACCTCTATCTGTGAGACAGTTTTGCTAGGTAACTGCCTCAGCCTCTGGTCAGTAAAAAGCAGAAATCATCAATTTGTCATGATGTGCCAAAGGTTAAGAATCTTTGACCAAAAAGTTTTCTAATTATGACTATCTTACCCCCACAAGATTAGGCCCAGTTTGTTTATTTGTTTGTTTGTTTTTTGGGGGGGGTCCGGTAGTGGGGCCTGAACTCTGGGCCTGGTCACTGTCCCTCAGCTCTTCAGCTCAAGGCTAGCGCTCTACCACTTGAACTACAGTGCCACTTCCGGCTTTTTTCCTTTTTGCTTATGTGGTGCTGAGGAATCGAACCCAGGGCCTCATGCATGCAAGGCAAGCGCTCTACCACTGAGCCACCTTCCCAGCTCAGGCCCAGTTTGTTTGTTTTTATGTTTTTTATTGTGAAAATACTGTACAGAGAGGTTACAGTTAGATGAGCAAGGTAATGAGTACGTTTCTTACCAAACATTGTTGCCTCCTCCTTTGTTTTTCCCCTACCATACCTTCCCGCCCACTTCAGTTTCCATATTCTATCAACTTTTAGATTATCAATTATTTGACAGAGCCTATACACATGGTTTAAAAGAACCATCCAAATTACCTGATTTAGTTATGCTAACAAGTTTTATTTAACGTTCTTTAGAGTATGTACATTATATACTTAGGTAACTCAGTTCTAATAAACTATTTTTCCATAGGAAAGCACAAGGAGAAGAAAAAAACATCCTGAATCTTCAGAACTTTTCAATGGAGTAAAGAACTTCCCACAAAAAGATAATTATATGGAATTTCAAAATTCATTTTGTGATCCCTATCAAAATTTTGCCAGTCAGGGTATGATCAAGAAATCAAGGTCTCCATCTTGTTATACATATACTAACACAGTCACAGATTTAGAAAGTTCTGAAGGACTCTGGCCTACCGTTTCCCAGTTTACTCTGAGCGAAGAAACAAAGGAAGATGTATATTATTATGGCATCACCATACTTTTGCTTTTGATATCTGTATGTCTTGCTTTATATCTTCTCTGAAGATATCAAATAAAATCACTCTGACAACTTTAACGTGTCCAGTTCTTCACAGAAATATTACACTCTTATTTCAGGGTTTCCTCCCAGACATTTTCAAGGTAATTGGCTTAAAAAGAAAAAATTTATTTTAACAAAGTTTTTAGACACTCGAATAATAACATTACTGTATACTAGAAACAATGTACTATATAGTTTGGACTATAGTTTTCTGACATTTCAGATTACTTAAAAAAATCTAGAAGCCGGCCATGGTGGCTCACGCCTGTAATTCTATACTCAGGAGGCTGAGATCTGAGGATCACAATTCAAAGCCAGCCCAGACAGGAAACTCCGTGAGACTCTTACCTCCAATAAATCAGTAGAAAACCGGAAGTGGTCCTGTGGCTCAAGTGGTAGAATGCTGGCCTTGAGCTGAAGAAGGCAGGGACAGTGCCCTAGCCAAGAGTTCAAGCCTCACGACCGATGATTTATCTCATAAAAACTTACCTTCTTATTGTTTAAACAATACTTGAAAAAAATAAGTCATGCACTGGTGGCTCATGACTATAATCCTAGCTACTCAGGAGGCTAAGACCTGAGGATGACAGTTTGAAGCAAGACTGGGCAAAAAAGTCCATGAGACTCTTATCTCCAATTAACTACCAAAAACCAGAAGTGGAGCTGTGACTCAAATATTAGGGCACAAAAGCTCAGGGGCAGTGTCCAGGCCCCAAGTTCAAGCCACAGGTCTGGCTCCCCAAAAAAAATAATTTAAAAAATATAAACTAATACATCTATTTTCTACAATACGTTACTAAAAGCTAGGCACATTTTATGAAATATGATTAACAATTTGCTTACCTTACTGCAGTATGGACATTCTCCAAATAGAATGTTAAAACTCTGTCTACTAGTGGGGAGGCCTCTCAACCACTGAAGATTAAAAAGAAGGTAAAGGAATCCTATCAGCATGATTGCAGATAACACCAAAGAGTATTCTTCTTTTCCTTTTCAGCACACTGTTGTTGTTTTTCCAGAACATTATCTTCTGAATTGTGTTTGGCAAGAATAAGAGATATATTGAGCCAGTAGAAGATACTATACTGAAATGGCTACTGGTAGTTCATGCCTGTAATCTTAGGGACTCAGGAAGCTGAGACCTGGAGGATCATGATCTAAAGTCATCTGGGCAGAAAGCATCTGTGAAATTCTTTTCTAAATAATCAGCAAAATGCTGGACTTGAGGGATGGTGCAAGTGGTATACCATCAACTGTGAGCAACAAAGTGGTGCCACAGTGCAAACACTGAGGTCAAGTCCTGGTATCAATACAAATAAGACTATGAAGGGGGACCAAAACTGAAAACTGAAGTGCAAACTACTGGTTTATAAAGAAACCATGGGACCATTTAAAAATCTGATAATTATATAGTTTACTCCCAAATAGACATACACAGAAATAAATGTATTCAAGTAGTTTACATATATAGAGCCATTAATCACTTATTTTACATTGTAAAAGACATTATAGGTTAAAAAAAAATTAGGTCTTAATTCTGGTCTTTAACTACAGATAAATTCTTATTCCACTAGTTAAAGACATTAAAATTTTGAATATTATTACAAAAGCAAGCACATATTCCCTTAGAATTCTATAGACTTGGTGCTTAATGATTTTTATATAAGGTAAACTAATGTGTGTCCCTAAGTTCCCCATTGGTAAAGTGCAGGTAACACTAACTACTGCCTCTAATAACAAAAGTAGTAAAAGCATGATACGAAGGAAGACTCTTGAGAACTGAAAGCCCTATACAACTTGAAGGTGTTTTCTCCATAGATTCCCAGTTAATCATATAAACTGTCAAATGACAAAAGACACAATGAAAACTGACAGCATATAGTAAGTAAGCAGTAAATAAAACAGCATTAACTGAATAATATTGGCCATTCTGATCACAAAAAATGCATTTTTAATATCAAAAGTATGATTACTATATTTATTCTATACTTAAGAACAGCCAAATGAGAAACAGCTGTCATCTTTTCATTTTATTGCTGTTCCTGGGTGAATGAATCTACAGGGTTCAAATTGTAGTGGCATGGGAAAGTAAATGTATTCGTATTCATGATTTTCAATAGATTCTCTAAGTTCTTAGATACTTTGGGGCATGTATTCATTAATATATATGATGAAGAAATGATGCAAGTAGGAGAGAGCAAGGGACAGGGTGACATTGTCTAAAAAAGAAATGAAATTTGTACCTGACATGTAACTGTAATCCCTTTGTACATCACCTTGATAATAACAATAAAAAGGAAACAAAACCCTAATTTTTAAAAGAAAGGAAATGATGCACATGAGTATAGCAAAAACAGGCAACACTTGAGTAAGCAAATTTTAGGTTCTGTGTATTTCAAATACACATACTTTTCTATGTTGGAGTTACTAAACATCTTGCAGATATTGTTCTTAATTTATTCTAGTTGTACCTCATATAAGCATATTTGGTGGAAAGGCTGTCCACACTGGGAATAATTGCACATCTGATCAGGAATAGCACCATCAAGTTGATAAGCATAACAGATTCCACAATCCATAGTAAAATCCTTCAAAAGAAAAAAATGCTTAATATTTTAAGTAAATTTGTTTAAGATGTACAAAGGAATAACTACGTAATATGGATAATAGTAAAGGTTTATAATTTTAGGTTTATACAGAAGTCACTATATTGCTATACTATAGCAATACAATCACATCACTAGTTAACATCCAACAAAGATACTTTGTGAAACTCTTTGCATGTAGTTTGGCTGGTGAGATTTTTGGGTTTGAGCAATTTTCCCATATACATAATTATGTATGTAAAGTGTGTGAAGATAGGAATTAGCATTAGCTAGTCATTATTTAGCTTCACAATTCTACAAATACAGAAAAATAAAAAATACTAACACCACTTAAGTTTCTACAATCATACCAGCTTTGTAAAAATTCAGTTCTACATTTATTATCTTTACAATAATAGTGGTTTCTGTTCATCTTGAAAAAATGCATTGCTATCCTTCACACTTATATCAAACTAATTAGAACTTTATTTCAGTGATACATATGCAGATAATATAGAAAATCCAAACATCTCATTAGCTACTTTGGACTGTTTATTGTCTGTCATCAATCATTTTACTGTTGAAGACCATGAATAAAATACAGTGAAAACCACCTATCAAAGGTTAACAAGTTCTTTGATGCAACTGTTAACTTGTAGTTCAGAGGTCTATGTTATAACACCTTCCAATTCCCTCCCTTCTCAGACTGGTTTTTCTTAGAGAAGCATTTAAATTTTATTATGGAACAGTACATAGAATATCGAAGCACTGATAACACTTACACATTTTTCCAGAATAGTACGAGGTGGAAAATCAATTTCTAAAACATCTTTCAAATTTTGTAACAGACTATTTTCTGGATCCCTGAAAGCAAGAAAAAAATTCTGCTATAAAGTTTATAAAATCATAGAAATGTAATTTTATTGTCAAGGTACCTACCACAAATGCATGTTCTTGCTCAGCTTAATTCCCAGGGGTTTTACCACTTCAGGGGGGAAAAGAAAAAGTTGAATAATTTTTTTACCACTTTTTGTTGCTCTTCTTTTGATCCACAATTTGTTTCTCAACTATTTCATTTGAGATTTTTTAAATTGCATATATTAAATTAAACAGTATACAGTTCAGTAATGAGAAATAATTACCATTAGAATTTGCTTTACTATTTTAAAATGTATTAACAGTGTTCTACAGAGATTTTATAATTCTGCTCAAAATACTTAATTCTCAATCTCATACCATGATCAGCTCCAAGAAAGCAGCACTCAGGAAGCATGGTAGGATGTCTGGGGTCTACCTCTATATTTATGGAAGCATTATTCCCTAAAATAAAAGAAGATTAGTTTCTAAAGTGGGAACAGATCACTAAACAAGCCAACAAAAAATACAAACGTCTATTTTGCTGCCTATTTCATACTCTACCCACTGAAAGAGTAACCCAAACATATGTTTTCAAGAAGGTAAATATGGCTGTTTTCACAAAAAAAAACCTAATTTTATATTATTATCACTAGATCAAAATTTTCAAGAATCAGCCAATTTATAAACCAATATGGTTAAATTTAATTGGTATTTGGGTTAATTCTATTAACATAAAATGTTCAACACCAGGCACCAGTGGGTCATGCTACTCAGGAAGCTGCAATCCAAAGACTGCAGTTCAAAGCCAGACCAGGCAAGAAAGTCCATGAGACTCTTATTTCCAACTAAGCATCAAAAAAAAGCTGGAAGTGGAGCTGTAGCTCAGCTGCTAGCTTTGAGCAACCAAACACAATTAGAGCACTTAGGCCCTGAGTTCATGCTCCAGAACTGCACAAACACACAAACACACAAACACACACACACACACACACACACACACACACACACAAACAACTTCAATAACATTTATCTATGGAGTGATAAAGGCTTTTAATAAAAATAGCACAAAGTTAAGAAGTTGTTATCTAGATTACATGATGTTCTTTATAAAATTTATATTTCATATTGTCAAATGTAAATAATATAATGGCAAAAATAAAATGTCAACTATTCATTTAATAAAAAAGTAAGCTATTTTCCAGAATTTCAGAAAAATTTATTTCTACTTAGCATCAGATTCTTCAGAAAGTTTTAGTTGTATCATAGTATAAATCTCTAATATTAATTTGTGAAGTAATGTAGTATAATTATTAGGATCAACCTGAACTTCATTTTTATTTTAAAAGTGTTTTGGTAATTCCTATATACTATAGAATAAACCTTTTGCTAATTAATCTTGGCAATAATGTAAATGCAAACAATACAAACCTGACAAAATGGTGATCAGGATTAAAAAATATAGACATTCAATGAGAAAATAAGAACTCAAAGTTGTCCTATGTAGCATTTGTTAATAACTATGTAATTTTTTGTAATGCATACAAATTTCTTCTTAGTCTTTAGCAGTGTCTTCAACTAAATGGCTTCAGAAAGTACTATCAATTAAACAATAGCTATGTTAAATAATCTTTCAAATAATTTGCTGAAAATGGCTCTGGGACAGAAAATAAATATATGAAGGAAGGAAAATCACAACTAAAGATAGGCTGAATAACAAGTAAGCTGCTTATAATGAACATTATGAAAATATATTTTTTAAACTATCATGGGCCATGAAAATAATAAATTGCAACATTTCTCTACAGAAAATATTTTCATTATTAATATCTACTTGTTCGCAAGTATATTATAATTGGTTAATTATTCCAAATTAAGTACTATTACACTTTTTCAAATTGAGAAAATAACAATACTACTTGTAAAACTGCAGTTAGTACACTTTCTTCTTCTCATAACAATACATCACTCTATGTCACACACTCCTGACCCAAGATAAACTATTATGCCTTTGGGGTAAAAGATAAAAGTTGTTCATTAACATGAGTATTATTTATATCAGAATTTTCCATTATCCATCAGAAGATAGGCTTTTCAAAAATATACCTCCTTAGACTAGGAAGAAACAGGAAAAAAGATACATGGAGAGCTTAAAAACAGTCATGGTATTTAATATGGACACAAATATAGTTTAAAATACAAAAATCTTGAAGAATGCTAACATTTAAACTGACTTAGGTTTTGTTTTTCCTTATAATGGAAATAATCATTTAATAGTCAAGAGAATATGATACCACTAAAGGACTAGTTATTGCTGTAGTCTATCTTACTCATTAATTGCATATATTTATAATAAAGACAGTATATGAAATACATCCAATTTTTATTTTGTGCTGTTTTTATCTGATAGCCAACTCCATCTTCAGGATTTTTTATCCTTTACATTTTTGTCAGAATATATTCCCAGATCTGTTCACACCAATTTTGTCTGAATCTCACAGATGAAGACTTCATTACTTGAAACACAGGGTTTTTTATTTTTTTTTTTGTTCTAACTAATGTACATTTTGAATAACCTGCCCCACTATTCTTGTGCTAATTAAGAGCTAATTAAACACTGTCTCTCAATGTTACTTCCATTGGATCATCACCTTTTATAATGAAACACCTCAGTACTAGCCCTTTTCACCTAAAGTATTTACATAAATATGCAGTAAGAAATGAGTTTTTTCCCAAAAAAGTTTTAATACATGACTTCATACAAAGTTTCATCTAAGACTTCAAGTATCATCTTTAGATTCCCTTTTATAAATAATATAAAATAAAATCAAACACCTCAATTTTGAAGCCTTTCTCCCTACCTATTACAATTCTGCGTGCTGTCGCACTCCGAGTAGGTTTTTCTGGCTCCAGCACCCAGGTCTTCTCATCGATTTCATCCATAACATCCCAGAATGCCTTCAGTGATTCTAATCCTGCCAAGAACTGACTATGAATGCTTATTAAGGAGCTCTGTGGAAAGATGAAAGCTCTATAAGTTATATGGCACTCTACCAACAGGAGATAATCTTTCCCTCAAAATACACTCAATTTAGAATTTTAAGCTCTGTTTCATTTCAGTTAGAAACTGGACTCTAAAAGGTAAAAAGTCTTGACTTCATCTCTCTTCACCCCTGTTCGTGCTAACGTGATTATTTTTATTGTCACTAGGCTAAATACCTTTATCAAAATGGCTTCTAAAACAATGCATTTTATTAAGATGCGTGAAAACTATATGTATGGAAGTTAACTTGTAATTTAAAATGATCAAAATATAACTTCATTAATGTATATCATATATATAATGGATTGAGAATAGATTCTGTATAGTTTGAGTATAAAGGTAGTATTTCATTTTTTTTGGCTACAAAAATGAAGTTAAATACAGTGCCACTTATAATTTTACTAAGCTGCTTTAAACATTATTAGCAAATAGCTTTACAGACATAAGTAAACAAAAAAATAAGAAAAAGCTTTAGTTATTTCTTCCTATTTATTTTTGCCTGTTTGCCTTGTGCAATTGCTCTGATCCTAAGGCCTCCTCATAAATGGTAGCCCCATGATTTTCCACTAAGTAACATCCTCAGCCTACTTTCATCTATTTTTTAACAATAAAATTATGATTTTTTTTAAATTTAACTTTACTCAATTTTGTAGCAATTAGCTTAAAGACATCTCAAGTAAAAGGTAAAGCCATCAGTGGTTTTCAAACACAATTTATATTTTTACTTTTAAACAAAGCTTGAAGTTTCTTCTAAACTAATGTGGTATTCTTGAAAAGACAGAAGTATTTAAATATTTCTGATATAAACAGCATGAAAGTGTAAGAATAATCAAAGGCTTTAGATACTGTTTCAAATAAGCATTTCTGAAAAAAAGTACAAAAGCTTATGAATAATTAAGGACTTTAGAAACTATTTAAAATAAGCGAAATGAAAACCCCAAGATTATGAGCCAATAGAAAGTCTGTCTGGCTAAAAGTAAGCAACTTATTCTGTTTCTTGAATAGTTTTTAATGCTAGAGTACTTATTGTAATCAGTGTATCTTGTAAATTTTGCCAAATTTATGTTGCATGTTCCATGCCTAGATGAGTTGATCTCCCTCACTGAAGTGTGGAGAAACACTTGTCTTCTGTTCTAAAAACAGGAGGTACAGTACAGCTAAACAGTTAGTGACTATAGTCCACTATCAGTTGAACATAAGCCACAGAAATTTTTTCAAATAGTCGTGTCAAGTCAAAGGAAGTAGACAGCAGCTATGAAGATTAAAATTCTCTAGAGTCACAGAAATAACTTAAAAGTAGTTTGTTACAGCCTACCAATTTAAATTTCTTGGTAAATCATTTATAATACAGGTAGATTTTATTTAATCTTGAAAGAGCAACTCAAGCAATGAGCAAATATCAGGATTTTTCTTTAAGAAGATAAATTTCTGAATGAAAACTTGATTGGTACATTTGGACCCGCGTCCTAGACCCCTTTTATTTGTACCATATGGCAGTGATAATGAGTATGAGATCCTACTAGAAGGCAAAGTCTGAGACAAGGGGTCGGGTGGGGCAGTCTGTGTAAGTGAACTAAAGGAACTGGGAAAGAGAAGTACACCTTCCATCAGAAAGAATGACACCTCCCATTTGTTAGGAAAGATTTGGAAAAATTCATATTAAGTGAAGTAAGCTAGACCCAAAGAAACATAGGTCCCATGGTTTCCCTCATTTGCAATAATTAGTATATGTCTAGAATAATTTTATCAGATTAGAAGAAAAGCTCAAAAGCTATATACATATGACCAGATAAGATGATGCTAAGTGAAATGAACCCCAAGACAGGGACACAAGAGGTCTTCCTTTGTTGTTGTTGTTTTTAATGTACTATGTGATTTGTTTCCTATGTATGTTCTTCCCCCTATGGTGTATCCTCTGTTGTCACTGTATTTGATTTTGGTACCCGAATCTTGTATATACATTTGTCTAATTTGGGGAGGGGAAGGGGAATAACAAAACGCTTAAACAAGGACACAGGATGACCCATTGCAACAATGATACCCACAACACACTATACTGGAAATGAACTTTACAACTTCAGTGGGGGGGGGGGGCACGGCAGGAGGAGCGAGGAGGTGGGGGTGTGAAGGGATAGTGGGAGAACAACAAGGAAGGGGTAACAATGCTCTTTAAGAAATGTATTCATTGCCTTACTCATGTAACTGGAACCCCTCTGTACAGCATCTTTACAATAAAATAAATTTGTTAAAAATAATCTACTTGCTGAAAAAAAAGAAGGGAAAGCAAAAAAATGTATTTTAAAGCCAGTCACTCGGGTTAATAATCTGAGGAGCTGTGGAAATAGTTGCTAGAGGAGCTGTGGAAATAGTTACTAGAATTCCCCTCCAAAACAGAGGAATCCAGGAGCATTTATTTAGTAGTTTCCATTCTTCACTGGTTGAATTGCTCTAACGGGGCTACATTGCTCACATTTCTAGGTCTGCATACACACAGACATATGTGTGTGTGTGTGTGTGTGTGTGTGTGTGTGTGTGTGTGTGTGTGTGTGAGTAGGGGCCACAGTTTAATACATATAATATACATATCAATATATTATATATCAATATATATAAATTAAATATAACTACATATTAATGCATATTATATACATTACATGTAATATATAATATACTATATAATTAGGTTATATGATATAATTATTATATATAACTGTGGCCCATACAAAGTTCTCTGATCTTAGTTATTAGGAGAATTCTGAGCAGGAGAGAGGTGTTTTGTGAAGATGCACCATTTTGAAGCTGACTGCACAGATGAGGAAGATAGTATTAGGAAATGAAGGAGGGTACAGTTTTTGATTCCTAGCTAAAAGCAATCAGGTGGCATCAATCAGTTCAATTCTCTACAATTCTGTATGGGTTAGGAGTAAGTATATTTAGGAGACATCTTCCACTAGTTAATTTACATACAGCTTTTAATGGCAGTAAAAGGTTTATCCTTTCAGTAACTAGATTGTAAACCACTATCCATTTTGGGTTATCTTATTGAATTTTGAGAGTTTTTACATATTCTGAATACAAAGTACAATGTGATTTTCAAATATTTTCTCCTGATCTGCTTACCTTTCCATTCTCTACTAGTACCTTTCAATTTTAATTAAGTCCAATTACCAGTTTGTTTTTCTTTTATGGACCTGTGTCTGATGTATTATTAAGGATTCTCTGTCTGAGACTGACAGAGACAGAAGTAGCTCAGAAGTGAAGTAGGTACTTACCATGTGAAAGTCCCTAGGTTTGATCCCAGCATTGCAAAAAATACACACACGTGCACACAAAGAAAAGAACAGAAAAGAAAGAAAGAGGGAAAGAAAGAAAAGAAGCTGCAAAATGTTTCTAGAAGTTTTGTAGTTTTAGCCTTTACATTAAGTTTATAATCTGTTGTGAGTTAACTTTCACATATGAGTTAAAAGTTTATCGTTTGGCAGCATCATTTAATGAAAAGATTCTGCACCATAGTTTGAAGAAAGTTATCTGCCTATTCATTAGATCTATTTCTAAATTCTAGATCAGGTGGAGTTATTCTTCCAATTTAGTTGTTCAGAATTATTTTGGCTATTCTAAGTCTTTCACATATTTTTAATTTTAAAATAATTTTTCAGTGCTTTAAAATTTTCTGTTGGAATTTTGATTAGAATTATATTGACTCTACAGATCAAAATGGAAAGAACTGACACATTAACAGAACTGAATCTTCCACTCATGTCTGTAGTATCTTTCTTCATTAACTTAGGCATTTCAGGAAAATATGAGCAGGTACTTCAATAAAGAAGATGACAAACATGAAAAAATGTTAACTTTTTATTAACAAAGAACAATTTGTAACCACATTTCAGATATCACTGAGTATCTACTATAGTGACTAAAATGAAGGCTACTAGCCATACTAAATATCAGCAGGGAGGCAGCTGAACAGAAAGCCTCAACCACATTGAAAAATAGTTTGGCCCTTTAAAAAATCTTAAAGATACCTTTCATATATGATCCAGCCACTCCTCTTTTTTAATATATATTTTTATTGTAAAGATACTGTACAGAGGGGTGACAGTTACATGAGTAAGGTAATGAGTACATTTCCTATTGAGCATTGTTACCCCCTCCTTTGTTTTTCCAGCCACGCCTCTCGTAAAGCTCTACCCCAAACAAAAGAAAACATGTCTATATAATGACATGAAATTCATATAGCAGCTTTATTTGTAACAGCCAAGTCCTGAATGCTTAGCAATAAAAGATCATGAACTATCTATAACATGCTATAACATGTTTGAGTCTCAAAAGAATTACACTAAGAAAAAGAAGTCTGTCATGCAAAGCACATAGAATTCTATAAGATTCTAGAAAACAAACAAATCTAGAGACAGAAAGCAGGTGTATCCTTACCAGAAGACTGAGGAAAAACATGAGAACAATAGCAGGAATACAAATGAAAAAAGTAATCTGGATGTGACAGAAATGCTTATTATCTTGATTGTTCAGATGATTTCATCAGTATGAAATCAAAGCTCTGAATTATATACCTTAAGCAAATTAAGATAATTCATTTCATGACAATTATATCTCACTGAACCTATGTATTAAAAATACTTGTCTTTAACAGGACTTAAGAAACAAAGAACTCCCGCTCATCTGGTTGAACCACTACTAAATATCCTCATGCTGCTGATCACAAATATGGTATATAACATGTGAACACTGTTATATATTACAGACTGTGGTAGACAATTTGCTCCAGGGAAGTTAGAATGAACTTGTGACTTTGAAATTATGTAATCATTTAATCACAATCAAAAAAAAAAAAAAAAAAGAACCTCGGGGAAGGGAGGGAGGGAGGGGATGGTAGGGGTAAAACAATGGAGGGGGTAACAATGTTCAAGAGGAAGTATACTCATAACCTCACTCATGTAACTGTAACCCT